CAGGGCGGATCTCATCCACACCCGGAGCCTTGCCACCATGGAGGCTACCAACCACCTTGGTGACCTCAGCCAGGGAGATGGATGTATCCGCCTCAACATCCTCAGCCTCTGCCTCTGTAACAGAGGACGTGACGGGGGGATTGAGGAGAACCTCAAAGTATTCCTTCCACCGCCCGACAATATCCCCAGTCGAGGTCAGCAGCTCTCCACCCGCACCGTACATGGTGTTGGCAAAGAACTGCTTCCCCCTCCTGAGGCGCCGGATGGTTTGCCAGAATCTCTTCGAGGCCGACCGATAGTCATGCTCCATGGACTCTCCGAACTCCTCCCAGTCCCGGGTTTTTGCCTCTGCAACAGCCCGGGCCGCGGCACGCTTGGCCTGCCGGTACTGGACAGCTGCCTCAGGAGTCCCCCGAACCATCATGGCTCGATAGGACTCCTTCTTCAGCCTGACAACATCCCTTACTGCCGGTGTCCACCACCGGGTTCGGGGGTTGCCGCCGGGACCAGCACCAGAGACCTTGCGACCACAGCTACGAGCCGCCGCATCGGGGATTGAGGCAGAGAACATGGTCCACTCGGACTCCATGTCCCCCTCCTCCGCCGGGACCTGGGAGAAACTCTCCCGGAGGTGCGAGTTGAAAGTCCGTCTGACAGGGGGCTCAGCGAGACGTTCCCAGCAGACCCTCACTATACGCTTGGGTCTGCCAGGTCTGACCGGCTTCTTCCCCTGCCAGCGGATCCAACTCACGACCAGGTGATGATCGGTTGACAGCTCCACCCCTCTCTTTACCCGAGTGTCCGAGACACGCGGTCGAAGGTCAGATGATACGACAACAAAGTCGATCATCGACCTCCGGCCTAGGGTGTCCTGGTGCCACGTGCACTGGTGGACACCCTTGTGCTCGAACATGGTGTTCGTGATGGACAAACTGTGACTGGCACAGAAGTCCAACAACAGAACACCGCTCGGGTTCAGATCAGGGGGGCCGTTCTTTCCGATCACCCCTCTCCAAGTGTCACTGGCGACTCCCACATGGGCGTTGAAGTCCCCCAGGAGAATAACGGAGTCCCCGGGCGGTGCACCGTCCAGTACCCCTCCCAAGGACTCCAAGAAGGCCGGGTACTCTGCACTGCTGTTAGGCCCGTAGGCCGTCACAACAATGAGAGACTTGTCCCCCACCCGGAGGCGGAGGGACGCGACCCTCTCATTCACCGGGGAGAACTCCAACACATGGCGGCTGAGATGGGGGGCAATGAGAATGGCCACCCCAGCTCGCCGCCTCTCCCCGCGGGAAACTCCAGAAAAGTGGAGCGTCCAACCCCTCTCAAGGAGTTGGGTTCCAGAGCCCAAGCTGTGTGTGGAGGTGAGGCCGACTATCTCTAGTCGGTATCGCTCAACCTCCCCCACGAGCTCGGGCTCCTTCCCCCCCAGTGAGGTGACGTTCCACGTCCCAAGAGCCAGATGTTGTGTGTGCGGACTGGGTCGCCGAGGTCTCCGCCTTCGACTGCCGCCCAGTCCTCTCAGCACCGCGCCACCACGGACCCCTCTGCAGGTGGTGGGCCCACAGGACGGACTGCCCACGTCATCCCTTCGGGCTGGGCCCGGCCGGGCCCCGTGGGCTAAGGCCCGGCCACCAGGCGCTCGCATACGAGCCCCGACCCCAGGCCTGGCTCCAGGGTGGGGCCCCGGCTGCGCCATGCCGGGCGACGTCACTGCTCTCATTATAGTGCGATCCATGGTGGTTTTTGGACTGCGCTTCGTCTGACTCGTCACCTGAGACCTGTCTGCCATGGGAGGCCCTACCAGGGGCATGAAGCCCCAGACAGCATAGCTCCCAGGGTCATCTGAGTACTCAAACTCCCCCACCACGTTAAGGTGGCAGTCCAGGGGGGAGGACACAGTGCTGGTGAACATATGCCTCCAGGCTGAGTTCTCATTTTCCCATGACTGTAAACAAGTGCTGCTAATATGTTCGCCAATGCAGAAGTGCTGTTTAATACTGCATTCTTGGAGAAGTACTTTACACAATAAGCCGCTAGCTTAACCCCGTTAGCGTCAAAGCCCGCCCGCAACGTGAGCCCTGCTTCCGCCACTTCCACTGTGCGCCAGAGCAGGGCAGTACTTCATTCACACGTCTTGAATTTAGTGAATGTGCGCCCAGTGCGCATGGAAGTTGGCGTTCAAGCCTCATTGAACGCCTCATTCCTCTCTTGTCTACCTGATTCCGAGTAGAGGAGCTGGCCACGCTGGCCCGCCATCAGAGGGGAATACAGACAGCGTGGACTCATGTGTTTCTCTGAGACGTGGCTGTGTGGTCTCTCTGGAGGGATTTAAACGTGTGCCCATAGACCGGTGTGTGGAGGGGAACGAAAAGAAGAAGGGCGGGGGAATTGCAGTATATGTGAATGAGGACTGGTGTAACCACATCACATCGGTACCCGGGATTTGGAGCTGATCGCTTTAAGTATGAGGCCCAGAAATTTGCCGTGGAAGTTCTCGAACACCGTGGTTTTGACCCATATCCAGACCTGTACCCCCTGCGCTCTCATCCTGATCAGCGAAGACTTTAACCACACCACTTTAACCACCATTCCCCCCCACTCCATCTGCCCCCCCCCCCCCCCCCCCCCCCCTCTCTTCACACGTCTCCAGCCCAGTGACACTGCCTTCGACTGCCCCAAGCCCCCCTGCTCACACATCCCCATCGCCCACCTCTGACAGTACACCCCACCCCCCCACTCCCTCCTCTCCATCACACTGGACCAGGTGAGGAGTGAGTTGAAGCGACTGAAGCAGAGTAAACCCACAGGACCAGACGGGATCAGTCCCAGGCTGCCGAGGACCTGTTTAGACCAGCTTCTGAGGTCCTCAGCTACATCCACAACCTGAGCCTCAGCCTGGAGAAGGTCCCTGTCCTGTGGAAGACCTCCTGTCTGATCCCGGTTTCTAAAACAGCTCAAAGTTGCCTCTACTTTCTGAGGAGGCTGTGGTCCTTTGTAGTGAGCAGGCCTCTGCTCAGGACTTTTCATGACTCTGTGGCAGCTTCTGCTATAAGTGAGGGACATGAGGATGCTATTCAAAGTCACCTCCATCATGGACAACACCTCCCACTGCACAGGACTGTAGAGGAGCTGAGGACTTCCCTCAGTGCAACTGCAGGACCTTCATCCCCACTGCTGTCAGACTGTACAATAAGTCACTTTAAGCCACTACTGACCTGCATTAGGACCGAAAAACCAGCCTATTGCCTTTTTATTGTACATAATTATATCCTGCACAGACTGTATTTTTCCTTTCTCCTTTGCCTCAGCAATTTATTTAATTTTCCATTTCAGACCATCTCTGTTCTTTCTAAAATGAGCTGTTCTTCACTGCCATGGGAATTTTTAAATGAGTAATTTTTACACTACCTTTGGTCTTGCCATTTTAAAATACATTCACTGCTATCTCCATAATTGCCCTTAAATTCTCATAGATCATAATTAAATTCAATTTGAGTAAAAACCTTTGGGTAAAATAAAGTATGTCCCAGGTTTACAATGATAAAAGTACATTAAGAGATGAGGAAATTGACTTGAACAGTTTTGGTGCAGTCTGCAAACATTACTATCAAGCATGACTAGATAATCATTTTTACACAAATCGTCTACTGAGACATGCTCATTGCAATTTCCTGTTTTTCTTCCCATCCTCTCGTTTTAATTAAATCTTACTGGGCAGAATGGTTTAGGTCCATCTGAGACTTGAAATGAATTCATAAGCTTTAAAACTACTATTGCTTGTTTATGCGAACTATTATTTGACCAAACATAATCAAACGGTATAAGATATTATGCTGGAAAGACTAATGAGCAGGTATGAACCTGTAACTTTGTATATGTGCCTAGTCTCAGATGATAAATTGAATCCAGCTTTTAGTATTACTCATATCTAAGTGTTATCAGTGATGAAAACATAAATAAAATCCTGACATAACAATATCCAGGTGATAATATGGCAATTTATCATAATCTCCTTTAATCATGAGTTGAAACATGAAGATAACAGTTTGAAACATCTTGGCTTAGTCATAAATATGGTCGCATCAAGGTGGAAGTCCCATACAACCATAATGTTTTCCAACCTTTCATGATATGAAAAGGCGAGTTGATGAAAGGTGTGCTCGCTGTGAGAGACACTGTAGTGTTCATTTCACATTAGCTCCCAGGTCCTACTCACTTAAGTCACCTCCCTTTTTAAATTATCCTGTTGCTATTGGAAACAGGTGGCAGATTTACCTTAGATGGCACATTTATACATAGAGGGTTGATTTTAGATGATGTTGCTCTTTTCTTCCTGTCAGAAGTTATTGCAGAAACTTCTCATCCATAGTTTTCTCACTCTAGTAATTTTACTGAAGTAACTTTTATTGTCTTTTTTGTGTTATTTTTGCTTGATTGTGGTGCAATACATAACAAAATTATTCATCTATAATTTTCATTTCATTCCCTCGTCCAATCATAATCACAGCAATCTAGCTCTGTTACAACTTTGATTTACCACAGTCACTGTACCTTGTCGCATGCAATGCAAAACAATATGTAGTTCTCTGCCGAGAGAACTGCAACAATATACTGTATTTTACCCTAATTGTGATCAAAATGGAGTGGATGATTATTATCAGTTGCGTTAGGAATGAATTGTTCCTTAATACATATGAGCAATAACAAATAATGAATTCATAAATGCACACAATTAAAGGTTTTCCCTGTCAAAATTATATCTACACCTCTCATTACAAAAATGTTGAAATGGTACCTGTCTGGTATGTGTTTTATTGCACAGTAAAGCAATTGGTCACCATCAATAAGCAGTGAATTCATGTATGCAGTCTCTTACAGGCGACTACAGCATTTCCTTTACTGTTTCTCCTGGGATTTATGTCTCATTAAGTGAAGGTACTTTCTTATTCTTTTATGTCTTGTGTTGTTTACTGTGTTTTTTTTGTTGTTCACAGGCTAACTGGCACAACATTACCCTCACCAGTCATCTCCAGTAAGAACTGGCTGCGGATACACTTCACATCAGACAGCAACCACAGAAGAAAAGGATTCAGTGCACAGTATCAAGGTATTTCAAAAGTCATACATTTATGTTTTCAGTTGGGACTAAACACTGTGGACAGACAACTAGCACACACCATTTCTCAGCTTTTTCTGCACAAACCATTGGTGTGGTGAAGTTGTGGACCTATTCCAATTTGTTCTCAATATTTGTCCTCTGAACGCTCACTGGAGCAGGAGAAGTGGATGCTGTGAAAACTAAATCTTGGTCTTCCAACGCTAATGAAAAGGGGTGATGCTCACACCAGTCCACAAAGTACTGAGTCAGTCCTCTGCCTGCATTGCCGTCGTCCATGATGAGTCAGGTGTTCGCAGTCATAAGAGAACCAAGCTGTTGTACCCTTAATCTGCGGAACAAGGGGCTGAAGAGTAACAGTAGAGGACCCTCCCTTGTGGAGACCCAAATTCAAGTTATGGCCTTTTCAGTTTATTCCTCATGAGCAGCAGATGTCAAAGAGCAGAGTTTTCCTGTACGTTCTTCTTTTTTCTACCCCCTGGCTCTCCTCTGACACACAGCTGGTACAGATCGCATCACTCACTTGGGTAGATTGATACTCTCCACTCGAGCAGTTCATCAATTAATCACAACTAATCAATTATCAAAATGATTGTTGATTACGGCTGTACAGTCCACTCAGTCTATTCAATTCAGAAAAAAAAAGTTGAGTGGTGCTGCATTTATGAATAACCAGGTTTTCCAGACAAATACAAAAAAAATACTGTAAGTGGGACATGTCCCTCCTCAAGTAACATATAGTCAGGGGAGGCTCACCTGCATGGAAAGTAAAAATGAAATATAATGGAAATCCACTATTTAGTTATTTGCAAGCACAAGCAGTCCTTATTATGCCTATGTCCAGTTTGTGCATTCAATCACAACTACCTTCTTTTTATTAGTTTTGAACCTCAAACGCTTGTCTTTCTGTTGTGACACCCGCAAATACCATTTTGAATGGTCTATTTTTATCTTGGCCGCAGATGAGTCCTTCATTCTTTCTGCCTCCAGTTTAAACTCCGGCCACACTGTTTTGTCAATGTCCATAAAATAAAGTCCTCACGGACTGTATTTTCTTTTAAACTAGGATATACTTTTACCATTCCTGTTTGAAGCGGCCTTAACTGTGGAGGTTGATCTGATGCACACAGGTGGACAAGATTTTACCCAGAGTGCAAACTCTGCCGGTGTGGTTGAGACGAGGGATGTGTCATTTAGTACAAAGCCGCCGCAATTGCTTCAGCGGTCAGAACAGAGTGGCTCCCTTGGGGGCCTGCCCCACTATTTGATAAGGACTGGATAAAACAGCTACAGTATATTCAAAATGCTGCAGCTCGAGTCCTGACTAGAATCAGGAAGTACAGTCACAATATTCTTGGTCTCAGGTCTCTGCACAGGCTTCTTGTAGATCAGAGAAGTCTGTAAAGCAGCTCTGGTTGTGTCTTCATGGCCTCACACCAAACTACCTGTGATATGTGCCAGCTTAATCAAGAGGAAACATGTAGAAATCTTGTGTGTCTATTCAGCAGATTTACTGCAGTGTCTACAAATAAACATTTAAAACAATTTGTTCTAGCCCTGTGAAACTGATGTCTTCTCTCAGAGGGGAGCAGTTCCACCCTAAGAGGGTGGTCACAGATGGACAAGATGGACTGAACTTTGTTACCTGTCTTTTGTAAATTTGTGTGAGACATTTGTTGTTGGCCAATTATACGAATGGCCTCTGACACAATTTTTCTCATATGACTTCTGTTTTGGACAGACATATTTCTGTAAAAGGAAATTAAACAAAAGGTTAGAACAGACTCTATAAAAGATTTATAAAAGAAAAAATCAGGATCAGAGACTTGTCCTCATCAAAAAACTGTCTACGCAGAAAGTAAATTCGTTGTGCCCCTTCTTTACAATGGTTCCCAGATACTTAAATGACTCCACTGTCTCCACTGCAGAGCTGTGGATGGCAGTTGGAGGTGGATGGCAGTTGGAGGTAGTAAGAGCTGTGGATTCTTCCCAAAGCTGAGGACCATTTCTTTTTCACACTCAGAGTCAGGAAGTGTCTGTCACACCACTGGACAACGTGCTCCATGACTGGTCCATGCTCCACTTCTCCATCCTGCAGCAGACTGACCGGGACTGTGTCATCTGCAAACTTCATCTGTTTAGATGCTTGCTCTGACAGTTATTTGTGAAGAGTATAGGGGTGAGAGGACCCTCCCTTGTGGAGATCTTATGGATGACTCTTTTTGCTCTGAGAATACTCCATTTACTCAAAAGGCTTGTGTACACTCTCGCGCGACGCTGGTTACGTTTGTGGTTGCGTTGGACCTACACTACGTAACCACAGTTAGTGGTACACTTGCGTGTTCCCCTTACGGAGTTTTGAAGAGAATGTTGTAATCCCAACCAAACACGTGATGGCGATCTCACAGGAGTTGCCTGAGAAACCAAAGCGGTCCCATTTACGCTGCAACTTTCCCCTATTCAGAACAAAAACATTTGCAAACCAAGCCGTTTGAGATCATTACATGTGTTTCTTCTACTGTAGGTTTATGTGATAGTTCTAAACTCATCGTTTCAACTCATTTAACTGTGATGCTGTGAATAAAGACACAGTTCTTGTTGGAAACACAGTTATTATTAAATTGTATTCAGCACAAAAAGCAAAACATTAAGTGGTAAATATCTGAGACAAACTATTCCTCCAGAACTATTTAAAAGTGCAGGAGGAATGCAACAGACGCGATAAGGTACAAGTGCAGATTCAAACAAAGACAGGAAGAGAGCAAAACAAACGACAGCATAGTTTATAAGTTAAATATATGTTGGATATGCAACAGAACTGGACAGTCCACAGTATCCGCCTATATCAGGCTCTGTCATGAGCCCAAACTGCTTTTCCTTCGGTTCCTTCGAAGCACAAAGCAGTCTGCTCCGAAGTGTGAAAGTGATCACACACGGACCAATCACAGCGGAGCTTCCTTACGGCGACTCTTACGTAGTTAGACATTTTCGATTGTGCGCGGGAGCTACGTAAGGGCCTTACGGTGATCCACGCGTTGCCTCCGTAAGCTCCGTGCCGCGCGACTATACACTAGGCTAGTAGGCTTAACTCTTTGTGGTCTGAGTGTTGAAAAGTAATTGATCCACTTCACCAAGTTTGGATCCAGATTAAAATCAGCCAATAATTTAGAATATACAATCTGTAGCTGCATTGAATTAAAAGCTGCCTATAGCAGACACGAGGCGGAGCAAGGTTGCGTCCTCCACTCCTCTCCTGTTGCAATAAGCAAACTGCATTGGGTTCAGTCTCTCCTTTACTTCTATTGTTCTAAACTGCTTCACTAGGCGTTCAAAACATCTGTTCTGTTGGTTTTTTGTGATTGTTTGATTTTTTTCTGTACAATATCATAATTTGTAAATTACTTGTTGTTTGGAAATATACTTGTCTGGCCCTTATGTGGACAGATACTGTATCATTTCAATACCTTAAATATGTCCTCTGTGACTTTTTTGGATAAATTGATTTACATCTCTCTGTTTCACACTCTCTCTGCAATAGTGCGTGCATGTGTTTGATATCCATGTGTGTCTGTGTTGTGCCAAGTTAGTCTCTGTGGAATATATTGTGGTTGTAATACAGATCTGCGCACTGCCCCTGAAGGCTGCTAACAGGATAAAGCTCCTCCTTTCCTTTGCTTTCCAACCTTTTTTATCTCCACCCTTTCATATTTCTTTTAATCCTGGCTCAATTTCCCCCCACATTGGCTTATCCTTTTGGTAGAATGATTGCATTAGGGAGGAAAATACTTTTTGGTGGTGTAACATTTGTGTAAGAAGCTATGCAAAAGTGACCCATATGTCTTGAATAAATTATGTTTTATTTTTTGCAGTTAAAAAGGCGATTGAGTTGAAGTCCCGAGGGGTGAAGATGATGCCTAGCAAAGACTCCAGTCACAAAAATGCAGTGTGTAAGTAAACTCTTGTTGCTATTTTTAAACTGTGTCTGCGTCTGCACACAATGAGACTAGTAGCTGCTGTATATAGTCAAGGACACGCTCATCCATCTTTGATACGATAGCAGCAGTGATTTCATCTATTTTTCACATGAGGTTCTTCCACTTAGGGACAATTCTGAGCCACAGTTACAGAACAGAGTTTTGATATGTTGTACATTTTACTTTTAATAATCAATGAAATTCTACAGACAATGATAGACACAATAAATAATCCTGACCATATAATTCGCTTTTTACATTCAGAAAAAAGATTCCTTGTATAAGTCAAGGGGAAAATTACATTTTCTGAGCGTCATGGGCCCCACTGCTATGATTGTTCCCTCTTTGCTATCATTTTGGATTTTCTGTTGTTTTTCTCTTGTTCTTCAGATCAATTGGCCACTTTAAATAAACAAGAATGTCAAAAAACTGTAATAATCTCCACCACTCTCATTTTACCTGTAATGTGACTGAAAGCTGCATCATTGCACGCAGCTTATCGCATCCAAAGACAATAATGACCGCTGCCCATGGCAATGCAATCTCTGCTTGTAATTCAGGTGTGTAGATTACTCCACAAGTAGTACGGCCACTTCGTCACAATGCTCTACGTCACTATTACTGTCTTTGTGAGGAAAGCTATCGCAGCAAGCTAAGCTCAATACACACAAATAACAATAACAATCAATCAACACATTTAAATGTTAATCGGAGATTACTTTATACATATACATTCTTAACACACATGCACGGAGGTTTTCAGATTGATCTGTTAATGCTTTCATGACAAAAATATTCTTTTAATGCGACAAAAAACGGTTGCGTAATCCCCATTAACATTAATAAAACATTTAAGAACGCATTTGCAGAGGATCAAATTTGGATTTAGATTGAGTGGGTCACTCACCTCAGAATTCATTGTTCAGTTTTCATGTAGTTAGAGAGAGTTCTAGTTTTAAATATTTTTCGCCTGCCTCGGGAAAACCTTTGGGAACAATTTTAGTTGCGTATCTGCATACTATACATTATTCCTTACATGTAAATGAGACTAGTGGCTAGAAATAAAACAAAACTAAAATTGTCACCTTTTGCCCTCCGTGGGCTTGGGTTCTCTCTAAGCTCTCTAATATATCTATTATATTAACTGGATAGGGTATTACTAGCTTGTAGCTGAATAACCCATGTGCTCGGGGGATTCTCGCGGTACTGCAGACTGAACCAGACTAAATTCACGTGGGCTACCCAGAAATTTTCCCCATAGAACTCAATGCATATTAAAACAGCTCAACCTCAGCTGACAGAGAACCTACAGCTTTAATAAAGATCGGATTCTGTGGGGATTTTAGTGTCCCTTGTCATCCTGAACTTTTTTTCTTCTTAAATCCTTCGGTTTTGTTTAAATCCACACTTTAGTGCAACAAACTCTGCTCGTCTGGCTCTCGCTCTAACTCCCGCTTTGATGAACTGCTCTGATTGGTCAGAGCGCGGCCGAGCCCCTCTGTGCACGTGCGTGAGACCCGGTGTGAGACCCACACACGCGTGTTTGGCGCAACGCATTATGGGAGATCATCCACTGCGCAGAACCGGGAGGACCAGACGATGCCCAAATACAGGCGAGTTTCCCATAGATCTTTGCGAGTTTCCCATAGATCTTTGCGAGTTTCCCAAAGTTCTTTGCGAGTTTCCCAAAGTTCTTTGCGAGTTTCCCATAGATCTTTGCGAGTTTCCCATAGATCTTTGCGAGTTTCCCATAGATCTTTGCGAGTTTCAGGCAACTTCCGCTAATCTTTCAGCCCCCATGCCGTCACAAAGCGCCACTGAGCACAACCATTCATTTGAATAGGGCGCCATCTTGGATCGCCAGGGCTTGGCTTGGGTCCTCTACCAGAGGCCTGGGAGCTTGAGGCTTGAGCCGAATCTTTGCTGTTCCTAGCACTGCACATTTCTGGAACCAAGATTTCCGAGGTTGTTCCAGGGACCTGCTTTCTTTTGTCATCTCACACACGCGTGCCCGCGCCATTCTGAGTGATTTTATTATAAATGGGCGGGTCATTCGGACAGTATGCTTTAATAAACTCATCCAGTAAGGAAAGTTCTGAGGTGCAACGTCCCACGCTAATTTTTGTGCCGTTAATTATAACGCGTTAAAGTCCCGGCCCTAATATATATATATATATATACTGAAAGATCAAGGCTATGCTCACACTCAGAGAGCAGCCGTCCTCCTGTGGACTCACCACCTGCAGAGGATCAGTGAGGGGCTGGTGCTATGAGACTTGGGTGGCATCTCTGATTGCCACCCCCCTGACCCAGAAATGGATTAAAGGGTAGAAAATGGATGGATGGATATATATATATATATATATATATATATATACATATACATTATATATATATATATATATATATATATATATATATATATATATATGTATATATATATATATATGTATATATATATATATATATATATATATTATATATGTATATATATATATATATATATATATATATGTATATATATATATATATATATATATATATATATATATATGTATTGTATATGTATGTATATATATGTATATGTATATGTATGTATATTAATATATATATATGTATATATATGTATATATATATATATTATGTATATTTATATATATATATATATATATATATATATATATATATATAGCATTTACAGCAGCTAATTAAGAAACATAGCTACTACTTATTTTGTATTTTGTAAATTTTGTGTGCTCTTACTACTGTCCTGTATGTGCGCTGCAACTTCGAAATTTCCCCACTGTGGGACAAATAAAGGAACACTTATCGCTTATCTTATCTTATCTCGCCACTGTCGGAGACATTCACAGAGCATGTCATCCGTTTGGGCCTTCTCCTTGATGTAGCTATGGAGCTATGTTTTGTCCTGGACAGCGGCTCTCTCGCTTTCTCGATGACCTGAGAACTAGTCTCGGGTCATCGGCCTCTTTATATATAAATATATGTCAACAGTTGTATTTTAGCTCACTCCTACTTAGGAATTGGTAATACTTTGCAGTGAAAACCTTGTAATATTATACAAATATGTTTTTGTAATGTACCACTTAACCTCACATTTTGTTCCATTCATCATCTAATACTAAAATGAGATTCCCCTCTCATCCCCAGCCCACAAACATACTTTTGTTATGGCTATATGTTTTCCTTACACCAGAATACCTTTATGGAGCTGCTTTATTGTGATTGGTGTCAGACATGACTAAAAATCTCCATCTCTCAGAGCGTAAATGGTTGAATCTAGCTCTGCTCCATAATGTAATGTGTGGTTTAGTGACTCACTCGTCTTTTTGTTGGCTGCTGTTGTGTCTCCCAGAGGACTCTATCCATTTCAGCCCATTTATTTTCACTTCTAATTTTCCAAAAGACATACACGTTGCATTACACTTTGTCTTGGAGAGCTGGAAGTACACCCACGATATTGTAGTCCTGCCTTTGGAGGCACTGCCATCAGAGGTTAATGGTTATATTTATAGACATATTATTTTGTAAGCAAGAATCAATAACACAGGCATATGGAATAATATGGTATAACATTTTAAGACCATTATTCTAAACCTTTTTCTCATGTGGTGGTGGCTGTTTGGGTGTAGTTTGAATAATAAGTTAGACTTTCTAAATCAAGCCCTTGAACAAGATACAATATTTATTGATATTTAAATGTTTGTTGAGGTTTTAACTATGCTACAACATAAACACTATAGGCCCAAACATGTAACCCCCCATTCTGTCTCAAAGCTCCTGTCTCAGTCCTGTAATAGCATGATATAATTGTACCACTATGACATCACCCCCTTTTAAAACAAAAGTTATGCCCATAAATTAGTTTTGGCAATTTCTACCCCTGCCATTGGTGGCAGCTGATAACATTTTGTAATATATGTTTAAAATTATTCATACTGTACATTATTTGACATTTGAAAAAATATGACATAACAAAGTAAGAATTAGCAATCTCCTCTTTTTGGCCTACATAATGCACAATATTTCGCCTTTCACACAAGATAAACTGTTTATAACAGGTCAAACAAGAGTAGAGTATAAATAAAAAATCATCATAATTTATTTTATAGCCTTTTTATAGCCCATATTTCTTGTGACTAAATAAACTTTGCTTCTGAAAAAAAAAAACACAGAAAAATATTCAATGGAATGCTGTGGATTCCATTGGAAGTTTGAGCTTTGTGGAAGAGGACACTTGAGTGGCAGAACTGTCATAGTTGTTTGTTGCAACTCACTACTGACATTTATCGGATTTGCATAAGTAAAGTGATGTTGCCAGTTACTCAATATTCATATGGGAAGAATAGCTTCTCCCTTAGCTTCTTTGGTATGCATATCTCATCTTTAAAGGAATGGCTAAATCTTTTTTTTTTTTTTCACTCTTTAACCTCATCAGTAACTTGTTGAGCAGTTGTTTTCAGCTGCACATTATTAGTTGAAACAGAAAATGTAACAGCGGGTGAATAGCAATGAATAGACTACAGGTGAAGTCATAGTAATTACAGAAAAAGTAGGAAAGAAGAGAGGATAGTGCTTAAGAAGTAAAGTGTTTTCATATGCATCATTCAAATGATTAATTGAGGAGGAACGTTTTAATATTGGCCGTAAATGTAGAGCTCGTGTCTGCTTCCTTGACGTGGATGGGGAGCTGATCATACAGTAGAGGAACGTTCTGCCTCCTACGGTGCTGTTTGACACACTCAAAACCACTGGAAGTCTGACGTTTTGCAAGTGCAGTGCTTGGTTTGGTTGATATCATACTAATATATGTATGTCTTGGAGGTAGGTTGAAGCCTTGTATGTCAAAAGAAAGGTTTTAAATGTGATTCTGTACTCCACCAGAAGCCAGTGGAGTGATCTCAAGACTGGAGTTATTTGTTCCCTCCTTTTTGTGCTTGTTAAGATCCTTT